TGTCAATGAAAATGTGACAAGTGTGCATCTATTTAAATCATTGTTTTTGAGTATGTTTGTATAGCACAACAGGTGTCTTAAATTACATTATTCTTTCAAGGTAGACAAGATTCTCAATCAAATCACCAGTCTCGTCATCCTTCGTCTCACCCACTATACAACACTAAACGCTTAACATTTATCACATCGTATGACTCAAAAGCTTCAATGATAAGCATTTGATTTAACATTTGGAGAACTTTCACATGCCAATTTTTCACAACATTAACTTACAAAATTTGTGCGCCAAAAATCACTCTCTGATAAGCATTGCCCAGAAAAATCTCATCTCAGACTCAGTATGTCAACATTTTTGTTTCGCTAGCACTCTGTTGACTAGACTTCAATTGGCTATCTCGTATAATCTATATATGTCTTAAATATCTTGAGATCCCAAAATTTTATGTTCTTGCCATCTAAATTATTGCACATCGTAGTAATTGTAGCTGCTCCGACACCAATTAATTTTGTTTTTATGAAGAAATTAAGTCACAATTATTGTGGTGTTTGTTCATTAATTAATGCTATATTATATATTTCTCTTCTAAAGGAAAATCATAAAGAATAAAGTAAAAACTTAGCTGCTAAACTTTTGAGTTAATTATTTGAACACTCAATGAACTTTACACAATGACACGTTTCACTCATCGAACTTACGTTTCCACTCATTATTCACTTAACTTTATGCCGTCGCACTCCATCACACACTGTCCAAAATCAGTTTATAACCCTTGCCTACGTTGCAAACGCAATACACACATGGCTAATTAAATGTTTCCAACTCACAAATTAAATTCCATGTCAGTAATTCGAATCTTTCAAACACACCTTCGCCACGTAGAATTAATGCAGCAAATCCACCCCCTTTCATCATCTGCTTAAACTCTGCAAAATTCCATCAACACGGCGATAAACCCATCACCGTTTTCATCAATTACATTGAATGCATCTCGCATAAAAGAAAAATACTTGCAACAACAAATCCA